CTTTCGTCGGGCTCCGGCTCCAGGGGGGAGGACGAGATGGCCCTGGTCGTTCGTGGCGATGTGGTACTGCGTGCCGGCCTCGTCGACGGCGGTGATGAAGGTCGCGATGTCGCGCTGGAGCTGGCGGATCTGGGCCTCGACCTCGTCGGCGCGGGTCGGGAAGGCCCCCGAGTGCGAGGGCGGGGGTCGGGGCGGGGGCCGCCGACGGCGGGGGGAGATACCGCGCGAAGCATCGGGCGTTGCGGCTGAGAAATCGCAGGACGTCGGGGTCGCGAATCCGCTCGAGATCCTCCTTGGTGAAGATGGCGTGGGAGCCGTCGTGGGCGAGGGTGATGGGCTTCTGCAATTGCCGCTCGGCTCGCGCCACGACGGAAAGGGGCAGCTCCGCCGCCGCCGCCTCGGCGACCCCCACACCGGTCAATAAAAGCGACGAGGAGGACAACGAGCTCCCCGCGCTGGAAGTTCCATCATCCACAGGGTCGAGTTCGGCGTTCAGAGCCTCGGGGCTTTCGTCGTCGACGACGGAATCCATTTTTTTTCTTCGCAGGGCGGTGGCGAAAGCGTGTATAAAGACCCCTTTTCCACTCCGCTTGACAAATCAGGTACCTAAGAAACCTACAAAGTCACTGTAAAAAAACAGAACAAGAAAGCAAATAGGACCGCTGTTCATGCTTAAGCTAAAACGCAATAAAAAATAGCCCGGTCACCGCACGGTGCACGCGATAAGTCATCACGGCGACGCACAAAAAGCTTCCCTAAGCATAATAACCACAATAAAAGCGACATTCAATACGATTACGTGCACCCCACAACAGACACCTGCCAAACGTCGACTTGACGCCGCACGGCCCATCCCCCCCCCCCCCCCGACCTCAGTCGCGGGAGGAATAGCAGAGCCCACAACCCCCTCTTCCACGGCACACCACCCACAGCTCGATCGATAAATATCGCCCCCTTCATAGCCAAACGCGTTGAATGGGCCGGTCTTTTTTCTTCCTTTTGTTTTACCCCCCCCCACGCGGGCGAGGCCGGCGGCCCTACGCCCCGCCTTTGCCGTCCCAATCCAGCGGCGCGGTGGGGCCGGTGTACCACCCGAACTCCCCCGTGCGGTCCGTCGCGCGCGCGCGCAGCCCCGCCAGGCCGTCCTCGGGGCCCTCGACAAACGTCCTCGCGGGCCCTTTTTCCTCCTCCTTTTCCCCCTTTTCCTCCGCCAGGGGAAGGGGGGAAGGGGAGGAATCGTCCGCCAGGGCCGCCGCGAGGGCGTCGGCGGAGATCCCCCCCGGCGTCCGGCGGGCCGTGGGGGCCCCCTTCTGAACCGCCGCGAGGCGCGGCCGGCCGGGGGCG